CGCCTCAGTAGTAAATGCAGCTAAAAGGAAGAAGAAAGGGGGTGCGGACACCAAACGGCCGGCCGGTGCAACGAACCCGTCTCGGCATGGTGTTTTCTTCTCATCGCCCCTTTCCGCCCAGATAAGCGCGCGTGGCCCACGGAATACACACACACACACACAAACACACACCCGCCAGGTAGGCGGCGGCGTGCAGCATCTACTTGCTGGGCACAGCCGGAGTTGACTGCCCGCCGGCGGCACGGGCGACGAGGAGGGAAAAAGCAAGGAGAATATAAAACGGGGGTGGGGAGCGAGACGCAACTGGGTTGTTTCTTTTTTCGTCGGCGTCGAGGACTGTGATGACTCTTTTCGGAGGGTTTCAGCCTGCTTGTCCATGACGATGGCATGGTGAATGGCAGGGCCTGGTCTCAAGGAACTCTTGCTGCGGACCGAGATGTTTCTGCCTGTCTGGGCTGCGGGGGGGGGGGCAGATTGACGCTCACTCAGCATGCCTCGCTTGCATCGAAAAGCGTGTGCAAAGGGGTAAAAATAGAAAACGGGTGCTGGTGAGGAATGTCGAGTAATTCATCCCATGCTCGTCCTGTTGGTCTGCGTCATCTTGGCCGTCGTCGTTTCTTTTCTTGGTTCCCTTGTGCTTCCATGTGTGCTTCCTTGTGCTCCATCATGTATGTAGGTCTCGATGGACATGGACCAGGGAGGGAGGATGATGAGAGCCGGGGTGATGCGAGGGCCTGTCGGAGGAGAAGGGGGGGAAGGGGGGGGAGAGAGAGAGGGAGAGAGAGAGAGGTCGTGTTCGGATGAGTGGAAGGCGAATGGATGGGCTGATTCGCAGATGGCCCATCTCGTCGGTCACGGGGCCTCGCAGCCAATCGAGGCTTCGTGACTGCGCCTACGGGACGAACGCCCTCCTGTCCCAATTCCATGGTTTGGGCGTGGTTTGGGCGTGGCTTGGGCATGGCGCACCCTCCTCCGACGGCGAGAGCCTCCGAACGAGTTGGGCCGAATCAGCCACCCCGGTGGAGGGCGGTAAGCTGACGGATACGGGGAGCTTTTGCTGCTGATGGTGGGCAGCCAGGGCACGGCGCGTCCAGAACGGGACAGAGGCGAGACCGAAGAGGCAATGGGTCATCTGCTTTGGGAAGCGCGCACGCGGTCCATGTCTCGCGCTTTGCTGCTTTGCCTGCCCGTTTGGGCCGAGGAGTTTGCTCTTTGTCGTCGAGAGAAGATGACGCTTCGTGTCTTTTGCAATGCAGGCAGTCTGTGCGGACCAGCCCCTTTGAGACGTTGATGATGATGACGACGACGACGACGACGACGACGACGAAAAAGGAGGCTAGAACATTCTGGTGGGTTGATGGAGACCGAGGTCATGTCCGAGACCAGCCCCTTTTCACCATCTCGTTGCTTTTTGCCCCTTCTCATGGCCGCATTCGATCGCGATTGCGAGAAAGGGAAATTACGGGGAACCTTGTTCGTATTGTCGAGGATGCTCCATTTATCCCAGACTGCCAACCAACCTGCCAAGAGATGGGCGGGGGCGGCCCGCCGCGACAGGGCCTCTCGGTGCTTTTTCCTCTCCCCCAGGGCTCTTTTTGCCCCTGGGCGGACTGTGGGCTGTGTGCGTGTGGGGGATGCGCTCCACTGATGAGAGGGACCGGGACGTTGCACCACCATCTGGAGTGGAGCCGGCTGTGTACCTGCTGTACCTACACTTAAAGTACGGTGGTCATGGGCGTTGACAAAGCAGAGAGGTCCGGCTTCTGTTTCCTTCACCATTAGCCTGGCCGTAGCCCCCCGAGGGTAGTTTCTCTCGGGCCAAGCAAGGCAGGCCACCGTCGGCCGCTGTCCGAGACCCGGTGAGAACAAACGCATCGTGGTGCGCAGGCCGCCGAGACAGCGAGACTTTTCTGTCTCACGACCACGGAGACTTTTGGTCAGTACAGTACGTGGATGCTGAGTGTATCAGACAGGTCCAAGACGGCAGATGCAAAGCCACTCTCGCGTCGCATCGTGGGGAGATGCAGCATCAAGGGGACGTCGGCTCGCGCGCGTCCGTTTCTCTGGACTGGAGCCTTGCCGCAGTGTGTACCGAGTAGATCTGGAAGAGGGACCTTCATTTCCAATCCACGGCCCTCTACTGGCTGGTCGGCGTGACCATGACGCTTGCATGACAAGGGACACTTTGTAGATATCTAAGTACCTAGCTAGGTATGTATCCGTACTCCGTACTGTGGTGCTTACCTCTGTACCTACCTTATCTACAGTACTAGTAGGTAGATGGCCATGCAAGATGCAGTTAATATGGACAACACTGGAGGCGCCGGATATCGCAAGACCCCCCGGAGCAGCCACCAACCTGTTAGTACTGTACTATACGGAGTACTAGGGTGGAGGTACTGTCCACTGTCCTTTGTCCACTGTCCACTGTCCACTGTCCACTGTCCACAGTTCTGTCCCACCACCATCCTCTCCTCCCCCATCCTCCTCTCCCCCCTCCACCACATCTGTGCCGGGGCTCGCTCACGAGGGCCTCTCTCTCTGCTCGAATCGCCACTTGATTGCCCTTGTGCAACCATGCTCTGCCGTGAGGGGGACCCCGCCGTTCGTGCCAAAAACAGCTCCACGTCGACCGTCTGTGTGACACATCACAATCTGCGCCAGCCAGACTTTTCTGCCCGCTCAACAATCCTCGATCCGCCGTGCTCGACTTGGGCAGATATCACGCCACCCCCGCCTCCGTCGGTAGCCAGGAACACGGGGGGGGGGGGGTTCATAGACAACGACGGCCATTGGTCATGGTCCCATGGCGGTGGTGGTGATGGCGATAATGGTGATCTGGCAACCTTGGACGAATGGAGGCGCCTCGGCATGCTGGTGCGGTAAGCTGGAGATTCAGTGCTCACGGCCACGATGAAGCCCTTCTTTCTCGCAACTCGCCCCGTCCCTCCCGCCGCCTCTTTGAGCGCCATTTGCACCCGCCAGCCCCGACCAGGCTGGAACAGAGGCTGTCCAGCCGCTCCGAGCTATTTATTGCCGCATTAGCAACCCCAGCAGCCTCGGTGGACGAATGGGACCCGTGGTCCTGCAAGGCAAAATCAATCTGTGCAAAGGGGGGCTGGCTTCGTCAGAGATGGCGGCTTTGAGGCAATTACATAGCCTTCCGTGTAATGCTGTAGGTCCGACTGCCGCCCATCGCCTCCCCCGTCGCTGGCCGCCGTCGTGGGGGTAACGGAGCCATGACGGCAGCGCACATACAGCAAGTCGCACAGCCGATCCTACATACACCAGACACGATACTGTACGCGTGCTTGTCGGCCTTGGCCAATGGACGCGGCTTTGCTGGCACACGATGCGACGGCACCACCTTGCGCAGAGCAACGCTGCGTGCATCTGTCAACTGCATGTGCATGGGCGGCGCAGCGGTAATTACAAGCAACTATGACTGCGCACCGTTACGGAGTAACCAGTTTCCATCCCTGGGCCCTCTGTTCTCCGGTTCCAAGGGGGAGCCAAATCGTCGCCCTGGGGGCGTCTCGTCAGCTCCTGTTTATATGTTAGCAGCAGGCCCAAACTTGGTCAGTCTGCTGGCTTCCAAGTCGCTGCCGGCCGCATCAGTTCCTGTTGATACCAACCTGGGCAGTGGTGCTGATGAGAGCTGCACCTCCCCCTCCCCCCCCTTCTCTCGCTCGCTCACGCTCTCTTCGGGACCACCAACGAGAAGGCTTGACGCGGCAGCACTTGAAATAGAGTCACATTGTCGGCATGACTCGTCGTCGTCTTGCTCAACTCCCCCGGGCCCCAGAGCGCCGCGCCGCCGTCCCCACAAGCTTCCCCAAGACCCCGGACTATTATATGTGACCAGGAGCATGCCCATGCGCCTTTCCGGGCGTGTGGGCCAAACCCCAGTGGCTTCTCGCGTCTCGGCCAAGTGGCTGCAGCCGATTGTCCGTTGCAATCACCTGCATCGTGGCCACGACGCCGTGCCATCCGCCACGGCGCCCTTGTCTGCGGAGGTGGCGTCGACGACGACCCGGCAAGAAACGCCACCGCCACCCCATGAGCGTCCCGTGTGAGAGGAGAGGAAAGCCGACGCTGCTGACTGGCTTGCCGTGCTTGCCAGGGTGAAAATTTGGCTTGCCACTCTGCTCCGGGGTGGGAGAGGGTTATCGATGTGCCGGACGACGCTGTGGCACCGTGGCTCTCGTTGGTCGACAGCCGCTTGTACGCAGACGTGGCACAACATGGCGTTGTGAGAAGAGAGACGTGGCTGTTAGTAGAAATCTCTGCTAACGTTGAGGATCATAGCTGTGATTCACGCATCCTCGAGATATTCCGTGCTGGCCATGATTGAGATGCAGGGAGGTATGTGTAGCTCTCGAACTCGGCAAAGAACCTCTGCAGCACAAAAACCTACTCATGCACCCCCTTATGTCCCCATGTATGCCAAGGCAACCGTGGTGTCAATGGACGCGGGCGCCGCATCTTGTCAAAAGTGACCCCAGTTACATAAATTACTGCCCAGGTTCATTTATACATACATATCTGGAGTATGCCCTCGTAGGTAAACATTCGGTGCAATCCATGAACAAAGCACCCTAAACTTCACCTCCCCATCTCTCTCTGCTGGTAGATGGTTCGCCGACGCTTCCAACAAAATTCCTTCATTCAGGCGCGTGCAACGACCACGAGGCCATGATAACCATGCGGGGACGTATGCGTTCCAGGGTGGGCATTACCTCGAGTGGTCAGCAAGTCGGGTCCATGTGCCACTTGACTTGAAGAGACGAGGCAACGAGCATCTGGTCACTCCCCTTTGTGCCCCTACGTGTTGGCCAAGTGCGTGGTGCTTACCGTTTAGAGAGACAGGACAGCGGCGAACGGGTCCGTATGGGTGTAAAGTAAAGTAAGGCACGGCACGTGACAGCTCCCCGCCTCCTCCAGCACAGCCTAACCCCCTTTCCTCAGCGCGTCCCTCTTCTCCAAATCATCGCTTCCAGATGCCGCCATGCGCGTCGCTTCCTCTATTGGCCGGCAGAATCACCCTGTCGGAAGCCCTCGACGCTGAAGATGACATCCTGGAGAAGCTGTCGTACCCCGAGAAGCGGCTGGACTTTTGCAGCCATCTCCACGCCCATGCCGACGAGATTGAAACCATTGTATCGCACCATCTCCACGTCTCCAGGGACTCGTGCCGGGCGCCGTGGGTCGACGAATGGGTCCACGGTAGCTTCAATGTCTGTGTTCCTGTGTACGTCAATGGTGAGAAAAGGGTCATGGTCAGGTTTCCCTTGCCCTACAAGATTGGTGAATCGACCCATCCGGGTAACGCCGATGAGAAACTCCGCTGCGAGGTTGCCACGTACGCCTGGATCCAAGCCCACTGCCCATGGGTCCCAATACCCCGTCTCTGGGGGTTCGGCTTCCCCGGTGGCCCAATTGTGAGGAGCCCACGTCGAAGCCCCGAATGGCACTTCTGACGGGAATGTGTTGCATCTAGTTTACAGCCCTCGATCGAGCGCCTCTTGTTTCGCAACTCGGATGGTACATACGACGGTCGTTGCTTTGGATGCTAGGCAGGCCTTGTCCTTCCGGCTATGTGACTTGTCCGCGTCGCCTCAACCTGTCGTCGGGTTACTTGGTGGTGGATTTTGTGCAGCATGGGCGCATGCTTTCCGAGACTTGGGATGCTCTGCGCCAAGACGACAACAGACGCAAGACCATCCATCGAGACATATCTCGCATCATGCTTGAGCTGGCCCGCGTTCCCTTCCCTCGGATTGGGTCCCTGACCATGGACAACCACGCTGTCGTTTCCCTGACAAACCGACCACTGACGCTCAATCTCCACCAGCTCGAAAACGAGGGACTGCAGACAAACATTGCCCGGGACCTGACCTACGCCACGGCCGACACTTACCTGCTGGATCTGTTGGCCTGCCATGACCATCGAATCCGTCATCTGCCCAACGCCATTCTCGACTACGCCGATGGACAGTCGCAGCTCTCCGCCTTGACAATTATGCGTGCGCTCCTGCCACACTTTACCGATCGCGAGCTACGGCATGGGCCCTTTGTCCTCATGCTCACGGACCTGCACCCGAGCAATGTCTTTGTCGACGACGACTGGCACATAACGTGCCTCTCGATCTTGAGAGGGCCTGCTCCCGACCGGTCGAGATGCTGCTTCCGCCGCACTGGCTGACGGGCCGGGCCATTGACCAAATCACGGGCGAGCATCTGGTCGCGTATGGGCAACGACTCGACGAGTTTGTTTCCGTGTTTGAGGAGGAGGAGAAGACGACGGCGGCCCGCGATACAGGTAGCGTCGTCGCCTACGCGGATGCGATGCGGACTGCATGGGAGACGGGGCGCTTTTGGTACATGAGCGCCGTAGAGGCCTCGACCGGGCTCTACAACCTGTTCCTGCAGCATATCCAGCCCATCTACGGAGATGCGGCCACGGAGCCCTGGAAAGAGTTTGAGCGGCTGGTGGCGCCCTACTGGGCCCCCGGGTCGTCCGAGTTGATCTCCCGAAAGGTGCACGAGAGGGAACGCTACCTGGAGCAGATACGCGAGGCCTTTGGACGGGGGGCGAGCGAGGGTTGAGAGGGGGGGTTTGGCAGGCAAACGGGAGAAACCTCCCCATGCCTCGTTTTGGACCAGGGATAGAACTAGATGGTGGGATGGGGGAACAGGAAACATCTAGAGCAAGGCGATGCTGCAGACGAGGACGAGTCATGTCTGCCCGACGGAGAAATACCCGTCGATCTAGCTGATTTCTCGGGCATTGGCCGGCTCTGAGGCTGGCTTTGGCTGGCTGAGAACAGGCAAGCAGCTGGGGCCACGCGTTCCCGCACCTCTCACCTCGCCTCACAAGGGGGGACGCGGCAACACACAGACTGTGCGGGACCCAGGCTTTGCCGCGTTTCAGGAATCCGGACTCGTCCTCCGTGCCCCCTCTCCACTGCGATTTGCCCGTCGTCTTGTCAGCATCAAGGCCCGTGCCGTGTGGGGAGAGAGAAGAGGCAAGGCGCTGCTGCTGCTGCTGCTGCTGCCGTCCTTGTTGTACGGCATTCTTGCTGTCAGCACGGGTCCCGCGGCGAGCCGTGGTGTCACGGCGTCGTTTGCAGTAGCACCTCCCTGATTGCTTGTCGTGGGGAGCTTATGGCCTTTGGTTGTTGGCGTGCTCGTTGACGCGGCGAGCTTGTGAGCTATCGCGGGGATAATGATGACGGGGATGAGATTGCAACCATTTGCTCTATGAATACCTGAGGAGACAAAGCGCTTTTCTGTCAACACCTCAAAACCTGCACTCGCATGCTCGCCAAACCGACATGTTCCCACCTCTTCTATCCATCGTCTCTCCATATCCGACCTACTTGAGCGTCACCAGCTCCTCGGCGCTCGTCGGGTGGATGGCGACGCAGCTGTCAAAGTCGGCCTTTGTGGCGCCCATCTTGATGGCCACGCCGAAGCCCTGCAGCATCTCGGCGCTGCCCTGGCCAACAATGTGCAGGCCCACCACCTTCTCCTCGGGCCCGACGACGACGAGCTTGTAGCTCGTCGGGCCCTTGTGCTCCGGCTCCATCATGGCGTAGTACATGGCCGTGAAGCTCGTCTTGTACACCTTGACCTTGTCCTTGCCGTACTGCTCCAGCGCCTGCGGCTCCGTCAGGCCGATGCTGCCCACCTCGGGGTGCGCGAAGACGACCGACGGCACGTTGGTGTAGTCGAGCTTGGCGCTCGAGAACTGTGCCGGGCCGAAGAGGCGGTGGGCCAGCTTGCGCCCGGCGGCAATGGCCACGGGGGTCAGCTCGACGCGGCCGGCCACGTCGCCGAGGGCGTAGATGTTGTCGACGCTGCTGTTCTGGAGCTCGTCGACGGCGACGTAGCCCTTGGCGTCGAGCTTGACGCCCGCCTCCTCGAGGCCGATGCCGTGCGTCTCGGGGGTGCGCCCGGTGGCCCAGATGAGGTGGTCGACGTCGGACACGGAGCTCTCCTTGCCGGCGTCGTCCTTGTAGGTGACGGTGAGCTTGCCGTTGGCGGCGCGCTCAATCTTGGACGGGTTGGTGCGCTTGTGCAACTTGACGCCGAGGCGCTCGTACTCGTTGGTCACCGTCTCCTGGACCATGGGGTCAAAGTGGCGCAGGAAGGTGTCGTGGCGGATGAAGAGGTGCGTCTCGGTGCCGAGGGCATTGAACATGCCGGCAAACTCGACCCCGATGTAGCCAGCGCCGACGATGGCGACGCGCTTGGGCTGCGTGTCGATGTCGAAGAAGCCGTCACTGTTGATGCCGAGCTCGGCGCCGGGGATGCGGGGGGGAGAGTTGGGGCGGCCGCCGACGGCGACGAGGATCTTCTTTGCGTTGACCAGCACCTTGGAGCCGTCGTCGAGCGTCACCTCGACCTGGGTCTTGGAGAGCAGGCGGGCGCGGCCGTGCAGGAACTCGACCTTGTCGTTGTCGAGGTTGCGCTGGTAGATGCCGTTGAGGCGCTTCACGTAGGCATCGCGCTTGGTCTTGAAGGTGGTCCAGTCAAAGGGGGCGGTCTGGTCGACGGAGAAGCCGTAGGCCTTGGCGTCGTGGATCGTCTCGGCAATGGCGGCGGCGTTGTACGTGACCTTCTTGGGGACACAGCTAGAGGGACGAGTCAGAGGAAGAAGGCGGATGGGAACGGATGGACGCGGCCGACATACCCGACGTTGACGCAGGTTCCGCCGAGGCGCTTTGCCTCGACGACGAGGGCCTTTGCGCCAAACTTGGCGCTGGCCATGCGGGCCGAGGCGAGGCCGCCGCTGCCGCCGCCGAGGACGAGGAAGTCGGCGTCTTTTGTGACGGGGGCCATGACGGGCGATGAAGTGGACAGATGGCGGGACAGGGAGGCGATTCGTAGCGGGGCGGCGGCGGCGGCGGCGGCTCGGGCGAAGAGGGACGACGGGGCGGCGCGTGCGAGGGTTTGCATGGGAGCTCGTGTCGCACAGGCAGAGGAGGAGGAGGGGGAGGGGGAGGGGGAGATGTCTCTGCTAAAAGAGGGGAGGATCTAAGGTAGTGGCGGTTGGTGGGGGCGGGGAAAGAGAAGGACGTCGTTCTTGTAGCTACGTAGTATGTATTTGTATCTGGAGAAGAACAGGGAGGCAGACGATGGCGACATGCCGCCCTGCTGTCGTAGCTCGGCTCCGAGGAAAAGCAGGGGCTCTGAATCGCCGACGGATGTGTAATCATTTCTGACTATCTCATGTACGATCGTGAAGACACGGATGGCCCGGCATGGGAAGATGCGATTGCTAATCAAGCGGCCATTGGGAGACGTTGAAGAGCACGACACTGGCTTGTCAATGCGGGCAATTGGCCGTTAAACCCGTTCACAAATATCCGCGTTGCCGCCGCCAAAGGGGGCAAGTAAAGCTGCCATGGCCGGGCTCGGTTATGCCGAAGATAACCTCACTCTTGACTTCCAGCGCCGTAGAGCGCCTTTGGCCTGGGCCGGGTGACAGACAGTGTACTCTGGTACGTACAACCCAACAGGATCCCAAAGCGGCAGCATCTATAAGCTCCACTATGACATTAAGATAGAGGGACTTGGTTAAGCAGCTATTTCATAGAGAAAGGAAAGTAGATATACTCCACCTCTATCTGGCGGGGTAACGTATATAACTACAAGTGCCCCATATCTCGAGCAGTTTCCTAACGCAATCCACCATCACATCGCCTGCACCCGAGACCATGAGGGTCATCTGCATTATATGCATCAGCTTTGCGATGCAATTTCTCAATAAAATAAAATCTAGTAAATATACTACGACTAAAACATATACTCTAGATCTTTCTGACTGGCCTGTGCAATCTCTATAGCTTCTTTTCAAGACAGAACTATATTATCCTTAGGAAAATATACTATTCCTTGGTGGGCCATTTGACTGGAAAGCCCCTAGACAAGCTACTGTAATAGGGTCGTCACAGAAGCCGAATTGCTGGCCCTGTCACATATAGCCGAGGAGCAAGTGGCATTTGGCCGGCTAATCCAAAGAGCTTGGCATCCATGTTGAAGGCACACCAAAACTCTGGCGTTATAAAACTTCAGACTATCAGATTTCTGACCGAATTGATTGCGAAGCTTAAGACGAACTTAAAGCACGTTGACGCCCACAGACACTGGCTTCGACAGGAGGTGCAGGAGGAAAGGATGAAAGTCAACTGGACCGCCTCAGCAGAGAACCCAGCAGACGGTATGACGGAGGAAGGCACTTACACAACAGAAGTTTATTATGAGCCCGGTTGCGGGTCCCCACTGAGCGAATTAGCAAGTGTTGAAACCCCATTCGGGAAGCTGCGCTAGCTGGTTGGCCTTCTATTGAGCCCCTAGGGAGGTTCTGATGTGATGTGGTGTCTGGCAGCCTAACCCAGTTATCAGGAGGGTTGCCTGTGCCTCCGAAACCTCACAGAGAAATATAGCCAGATAAGTCCTTTCAGGGCTTGAAGGGTAGCTTGCTGGCCAAACAAGTTCAGCTATCAACCTAGGGGCCCGCAAACCCAAAGGGCAGGGGATCTATCTAGACGGGGGAAGAAGCAGAGAGGGACGAAGCAGAGAGGGACGAAGCAGAGGCGCAAGAGCTACGTCGGCGTCGTCTGTAGTCGAGGAGGCAGTTGCGGCCACACAAGTGGACTAATTGACGGGATCTTACGATAGTTTCAGATGTATCATTTGCACGAATTGAGCTTTGCACGGCGCGCCGATACATGTGTTTGAATTCCATAGCCAGCCATGTCACTATACCTAGGTGACTCGAAAAGGGCAGGAGGGGTATTCTCAAGCAGGGGCTTGAGAGCACAGTGGAAGAAATAGGGGCATAGAAAGGTGAATTTAGTGATGTATATCTTAGTCTATCTATTAGGACAAGGGAGGGGCTTATATAGGTATAGTAACTATATATAGCTAGCTAAAAGAGGGCATTAAGATATTCCTATACCTAAGTTAAGCCTATATAATATCCTTAGGCTAAGGGAGTTATATTAGTTAAGCAGGCTTTATTATTTATAACTATTAGGTCTACTAAGTATAACTATAGCCTCTTATACCTACTCTCCTTAATATACCCCCTTACTACCTTAGCTTCTAGATAGTAGGGTAATAGGTAGAGGAGCGTTTAGTCTAATAAATATAAGGCTATTTTAATATTAAATTCGGCTACTTTATTATTTATTTAAGGAGGTTATCTAAAAATAAAAAAGGCTCTTAATTTTATTTTATAAAAAGGGAAGGTAAATATAGTAAAAGGAAAGTTTATTTAGTAGCTAGTACTCTATACTATTTAAGTACGTCGTACTAGCCGCCCCCTCTTACTTAAAGAGGGTTCGTATAAGAACGCTACTAGGAGGTATAGGCTAATAAAGTACTCGGGTACGTAGTACTAATATATCGGCAGGGTATCGGCAGGGAATCGTGCCTACCCCGCTTATATATTATAGACCTCTCGCTACTCCGGCCGAAGAGGAAAAAATCCCTCTTCTCGTAAGCTTTAGTCTTATAATAAGGAGAACGCAATATATATAGCGCAATACCTCTAGCTATCTCTACTACCTAACTAATTATACTATAATACGTATTCCCTTATAATTTCTAAAGCTTCCCTTTTTAGTTACCTAATAAAGATAGCTACTTAGAGAAGACTACGTAACGCTCTTATAGCGCGATATAGTAATTAACTAGTCGAGGCCTCTTTATTACGTATATTAACTATCTACTTAAGAGACGAAGAATAAGGAGATATATCCTTAGAATAGACCCTTATTATAGACGATATTCTAGCTATATTAAAGATATCGCTACTTATAGGTATAAGACTACTAACTCGCTAAGAAAAGCTTATAGCTCTATAAGCGCGTATTAAGGAGCTAGAGGAGACGAAACGCCTATAAGACCGCGTTATATAATTAAAGGAGGAAATTACTAAACGTACTAGTGCTATCGCTATCCGTTTAAGAAAGCGTTAATAGTCCTACTCCCTTAAATCGGACGGTAGCCGCGGTAGCGAGGTTAAGATTAAAAATATCGCTTAATTATCTTAACCTACTAATATATAGAAACGTCTAGACTAGACTTACGATCTAAAGGATGCCTTTAAGGCAGCGCTTAAATACTTTTATCGCGATAAAATAAAGATCCTTTATATAGTAGATTATATATATAGCGACTATAAAGCGAGATAGCGCTAATACCTTAAAGAATAGACGCCGATTAACTAAACTAAATATAGTATAGATTAAGTATACTTTAAGGAATAAATACTTATTTTAATTAAGGATATTATAAATAAGGAGATACTATTAGCGATATAATTAAAAGAGGCTCGCTAATAAGAAAGCTAGTCCTTTTTAGAGTTTAGCTTATACCTTAACTCCTTAAAGAGGTATTTTAAACGCCTATTAAAAAAGGCGTATACTCTTATATTTTTTACTAAGCTAGAGCTATAACTTTAAGACTAAATTAACCTTTATTTAATACCTATTTATACCTACTAATAAAAAGAGCTTATATAAGTCGCTTAACGATATTAAGATACTACTATTAATAAGAGGCAATATACTAATACTACTTTTACCTTTAAAGGGACTAAGAATAAAAATAGTACTATACCTTAAGGTAGTATATATAGGGGAAGGAATTAAAGAGGCTAATAAGCTAGGCTAAATTATTAAGGAATATTACGAACTAGCTAACTATAAGGGGAAGACGGTTAAAATATAGGCTATATAGCTAAAGCATAGGGTGCTAGGCGCTATAGACTATAAAAGAACTATTAATATAAAGGTTATATAATAGATTAGTTAGATTAGTTAGATTAGACGATTAATACTAAGTAAACTAAGTACTAATTAGTTTAATTAGTTAGATTAGCTAGATTAATACTAAGTAAACTAAACGGGCTAAATATAATAAGTAATATCGTTATAGTAAGGGGACTATAGGTATATATAGCTACCTACTTTTACTCCTTTAGATAGATAGCTCTTTAGCTTTTAATATAGATCTTTATTATAATTCTATCTTTAATTCTAATTACTTAGTTATAGTCTATAGTTTATAACCTCTAACTTATTACTAATATAATATACTTATTACTACTTAGACTACGTATAACGACCGGTATTATTCCTAGGGGATAAACCTATCGAGGGGTTTATATTAGTAGATATAATAGGGTATAGTCTAAGCAATAATAAGCATATTACGTTAGTAATAAGTTAGAGGTCGTAGACTATAGACTATAACTAGGTAATTAGAATTAAAGATAGAATCGTAATAAAGATCTATAATATATTAAAAGCTAGAGAGCTATCTATCTAAAGGAGTAAAAATAGGTAGCTATATATACCTATAGAGACTATCCTTAGATTATAGGCCTAGCTATAATCCCTAACGTTAGATCGTATAGGGCGTAGTAATCCTATTAATCCTAGATTACTTAGATCTCTACGATCCCCTCGATCCTATATCTATTAAATAGTTATGCCGACTATTTATCCGTTAGGCCGTATTACGTGCTTAACGCGGTCGACTATTAGCGGCCTAGTAGCTATAGTCGTAACACGATATCTCCCCTCCTTTTAGTCTTATCTATAAGACCTACTATAGCTGCCTTAGCCGCTATATATAAATATACCCTTATCGCGTCGTGCGTAAGTATATCGTTCCTTATTTCTTTATCTTTTTAGGATATACTACTAATAGTATATTTAGTTATATACTAAAAAATCGTTCTTAAAAAGCCTCTAAGCGCGCTGCTCTTACTAAATATATCGACTTAAGCGGAGATCCTACCGATATACTATGCACTTAATACTTTAAAGCAAAGAAGACGAATTATCGGATAGCCGAAAATTCTTTACGCTATAATAACTATATTACTAGTAGTCGTCCTTATTATAATAGTATTTTAGTAGCCTCTTCTTATAGGTGTCTTT